GTGCCACAGCCCCTACCGAGGGCAGTTAAAAGGGTGGCTCCCCTCAGCATGCAAGTTGCCCCCTTGAGCTGCAGGTGGGCATCTGGGCCGTCCATTAGAGAAGTCCGCAGCCAGGCCCCTCCAGGCTGCGGAAAGGCCAAAGCAAGAGAAACGGGAGCAGCAGCGTGGCTCAAGCCGAATCAAGGAAACCCTTTTCACACATTGGGATCCCGCTGGTCTTCATGCAGGGCTTCATGCAGGTTTTCCAGCCTGCTTCTGTGAGCAACCGGGTCTTCCCTGGCAAAGTCCTTCTGAGCTCCACCTTTGAGGACACGCGTGGGCTGATGGAGCCATCCCCTCCGTCCATCTGAACCACGGTTTCCCCAGGAAGGACTTTGCCAGGGGCCGATGCCAGAAACCTCACCTCCTGTGCAAAAGCTGCTTTGAGGTCGCAGCTCTCTTCTGAAATCTCAGGTGCCACCCTGGTTCTTCTTCTTCGCAAGGAAGCTTGCCATCCACTGCCAAAGGCACATTTAACGTGCCAGGGTCCCTCCCTTCAGAAATACTCACCTTTTCCTTGTCAGGACCAGAAAGATCTGAAGCCCCAAAGGTTGCTCATTTTACCTTTCAATGCTCATCTGCGTACTTCAGCCAGAGGTCTGGGAAGAACTCATCTGCCAGATCAAGGCTTTTCTGTTTTCAAGCAGCAGCGCCCATAAATGAAGAGGTAGGCGGCAGTGGGTCAGCCCAGGCAAGGGTGTTTATTGATCAGTAGCTATCTGGGCGTTGCCCTGGGGGGGGCACAGGATTCAGAGGAGGCAGATGCTCTGGGCTGCGAAGGCCCTGCCTGGAGAAGCCTCTCCTGGAGCTTTCTGGACTTGGAGCCCCAGCTTTGTCCTCTCCTCCACTACCCCCACTGTCCCCCAGCTCAGGACAAAGGCTGACATCTTCCCCAGTGGATGCCCCACGATTCCACTTTGCCCTTGCCAGCCAGGAAACACCCAGCAGGGCCTGGCAGGGTGCTCCCCCTTTCGCACCTTCAATCAGCCAGCAGTTTTATCTGTCAGGCAATCGGCCAGGGCGCCCCCCCCCCCCCCCTTATTGGCAGGATGTTTACAGAAGGAGGGTCAGGTTGTCTGGAGAGGCGGAGGGGGGAGGAGGAGGAGGAGGAGGAGAGATTCAGTGTCTACCCAATGCATGTAAGACTGCGGAGAAGCACAGCCAGGGTACCTGGAGTCTTGGGTGTCCCAAAGTCCCTTTCTTGCCACTAGCAAAACTGTGGAGTCCTTGGAGTTCTCTGAGGTTGGCTGTTCTCTTGCAAACGTTTCATTACCCAGCTGGGTAACCTCTTCAGTGCTCTCTTCTTCAGCAAAACTCTCGCTGCACCCAAAGAGATCCAGGACACACAAACCCCAAACATGGGTACGTACATACTCCAACTCAAGCACACCATTCGCTGTGATCGGAGAGGCAGCAGCAGTCAGCTCAGTGGGATGGATCCGGCCAGGCAGCTGGCTCGGATCAGCACCTGACGCAGGCTTGTTCTTGCAACACTTACTGAGGTCAGGCAAAAACTTTGTGGTGCACTGGCATTATAGCCTAAACTTGGTTAGGGTTAACCTTGATTTACTCCTTCCCTTCCCTTCCCTTCCCTCCCCCCCTTTTTTTGCATCTTAGTACCTTGTGCGAGCCCAGCCTCTGCGCTGAGTACATGGTTCAGTGTATTGCGCTAACCAGAAAATGAGGGAAGAAGCAGATTGGCAAAGGAACCAAAGGAGACCTCCATCACCGGGGGGAGGGGGGGAGGGAGAGATTCTGCCCTAACTAGTAGGGCTGGAAAGTATATGGTGCTTAACGGGGTCCCCAAGGGGATCTAAGAGGAAAGGCATCTGCACTTTTCCAAGGGTGGAAGATGGGGAGGGGCTGGACTCACCCTGGGGAGGGGGTTTGAAGCGCGTTTTCCTCAGCCCGCGACGGGAGTGCCGCAGCCTTTGATCCCAGGAGGGATTCAGCAGAGCTCTGGGATCGGAAGGCAGCCCTGGTGCCTTAGCCAGAGGGGCCGCTAAGTCCCGAGAGCGGCTCCAGCCCACCGGCACAGGGGGCTCAGGACACTGCGGTTTGCTCGGCATATTTGCACACGGCCAGGCGTAGAGAGGTGGAGTGCATTACAGAACAGACCCGTGCACGGCAACCGATTAAAAGAGTCCGTGGGGGAGGGGAGGGGAGGGGCAAGAGAGAAGCACCTTGGAGGACACAAAATTCACTGAAGGTTGCGATCAAAGCAGCAGCTGTGGGTTTGTTTACTACAATCATTTAGGAACTATCGATTCTTCCAGGTATCCAAGCAGTGGAAGTATGACTCTCAAACAGCCACATAAGGATGAAAAAAGCAGAAGAGTGGAGAAGCGGAGAAGCTCCCCAAACCACCAACTGAGCAATGAAACAGCTCGAATCTGGGTCTGGAGGGCTGCAGCGCGGCAGTGCCTGACCCCGCTGAGCTCCTACATCATGCTCGGCGAGGCTTAAGCAGGACGGACAGGTTGCAGTTTCACGCGCGGTGTGCAGCGGCTCCTGCTTCCGCATGCTCTCTAGCCAGACTTTCCAATAAATCATCATAGGCTCCATGCTTTGTTAACCAGGGGTTAGGATTATTTATCTATTCCTTTAGTCACTCACTCACTCACTCACCCGTTCATTCAGTGTTTGATGCCCCCCAATTCCAACCAACGCTTGGCAGCTCACAAAGTGAAAAACAATTTTAAAACACCAAGCAAATAAGAACGCAATAAAAATTAATCCAAAAAGAATTGCCAAATGGGTACAAGGTGGCAATTCAGACAACAACGCATGTGAAAGAGGAGGGCCCCCAAGGCGTTGGCGAGGCTTCCAGAGTATCGCCAGGGTGGGGGCCATCTGCACCTCTGGGGGACCTCATTCCAGAGGGCAGGCACCGCCGCAGGGAAGGCACACTTCCCGAGCCCCAATGGGTGACACGGTTTAATCAAGGGGACCTGGTGGCACCCACTCTGCGGGATCATACCGGCCAGGGAGACATCATGGAAGACAGACGGTCCCTCGGGTAACCAGGCCCTGTGCCACGTAGGGTTTTATGGCTCCTGGCCAGCACCGCGAACGACGCTCGGAAGCATGCGGGCAACCAACACAGCTGTGCAGCAGAGTTGTCCAGGCAAGCCCACCACCGTTGCCCGTGTCGCTGCCTTTTGGACCAGCTGAAGCTCCTGAGTGGTCTTCAAGGGCAGGCCCAGGTAGGGCACATTGCAAGAGCTGAGCTGAGCTGTGATCAGGGCATGAGTGACTCTCTGGAGGGCTGCCCAACTGGGGTACCAGGCGAAATGGTGCAAAGGCCCTCTTGGTCACAGCCGCCACCTGCTCTTTGAGTCCAAGAGGGCCTCCAAATTGTGCATCACTCTTGAATGGAGAAGCACAACCCCATCTAGGAGTAAAGATGGAGTTCCCAGGGCTAGGCAGTCCCAACCATCGCCTAGGTCTGGAAGCGTTAGTCTTGGTAGAACTGAGTCAAGGTCCTCTGGAACTGCATCCTGACCACCATCTCCACAACCATCCCTAAAAAGGAAGGCTGGAGACAGGATGAGAGCTGTCTAAAACAGTTGGGTCCAAGGATGTCCTCTTGAGGCTGGGGCACACCACACTGTCCCTCACAGGAGCGGTGTACAGGGTAAGGCTGCATAGGAGCAATGTGGGCCAAGGCCCAAGTCACCCGTTTATTCCAGGCAGTGGCCAAGCCCTCAGCAAACCGTCTGCCAGATTCTCAAGGAACACCCCCAGCTCCATCTGGAATCCCACAGGGTCCATCAGGCACTTGGGAGGCCAATCAAATAGGTCATCCCTACCCATAGGGAAGGTGACACCAGCAGAGAGCGATTGGCCCATGGCAACCGACTGGTGCAAACCCTTCATCACCAGATCATGTTGCAGCTGCTCCAAGACAAAAACCAGATCTAATGTGTGCCTACTGGTATCACTGGGCCACTGATGACTTGGGCAGGTCCATGCTGCCCCCGACTCAAGGCCACCAGGCAGCAAATGGAAATCTCCGAGCACCAATAACCTCAGAGACTCTCTCTTTAGCCCGCAACAGAAGCCAACAGCTCTGGCAGGAATGCTGCCAGCAGCAGGGGCAGTCCGCCAGCAGCCACCCCAGCTGTTCC